ACAATAAGTTTAGTATGATCTTACAACTTTTTATAGTTTGAAAAAAAAAAAATATTTGTTTTCACTTTTCACAATCCTTTTTAAAAAAAAAAAAATTAGTTTTTAAAAGTTTTGACAGCCAACAAACAAAAACAAAATAATAAGTGTCTAGAAATGTGTAGGAAAATAGCTTAAAAAGTTCAAAAGTTTTTTAGAGTATTAAGAAATATGACTTTTCATTGCACATAATCATATGTAGCATTAGCCTTAACTTTAACCCTGATCGAATCATTATTGAAAAATTTAACACCTTAGATTTTTTAAAAAAACATCTGAAAATTTAATCTTCAAAAGTATAATCGAATCTTTAAATATTAGTATTATCATATTGTTAGAATAAATCATGGAATTATCAATAAACTATTGAATGTTTTGAATAAGATAAACTGCTGTGTGAAATCTTAAAGTAATGTAATAACTGAAAATTAAAAAGAAAAAGAAAACAAAAAATTATTTTGTTACTTAGCTTGTTTTAAAAATACAACAATCTAGATAAAAACTATCCATATAAACACAAGCTTAAAATTATTCACTTACACTAGATTGTTAATAATTAAAAAAATAAAAAAGATTTTTACATTGTTCTAATGCACAAATAACATAAATGTAACATAAAGTACTTTTGGGATTGGCTATAGATAAGTCTATGGGTTAGATTTTTTCATAGAAGCACGTATTGGTGTTTGTTTTCAATGGATGTAACTTGACATTTATAATCAGACATTATTTGGGAAAATTATCCATAAAAAAATATTTTTTTATGAAAATTAAAGTTATTATTTTCAATACTACACCTAAATGAGTATGTTTAACAATTAGATTCAGATAACCTATGGTAGTGTTAATTTTTCAACAAAAGTCGTTTTTGCATAAATAATTATAACTTTTACCCCCAAAAATGTTTTCGGTATTTAGTACCATTTTTTAAAATGATCAGGACTTATAGTCCCGATCATATATATATTTTAAAAGTCGATACAAATAGCTCTTATAGCTTCAGTTATGTATTAAGATAAATGCTATTTGTTGTTAGCACAGCACAAAATGAAATATATATTACATAACTCATTCCAGCTGCTTTTAAAATAGCATATTTTTTCAAAATGTAATTAGGTTCATAATTTATGTCAAACAAACACTTCAAGATTTCTTTATAATTATACTGATACATGGGCGCCTGCAGGAATTTTTTCAGAAAGGGCACTTTCACACATAGTGCAAACATCAACCTTAAGTATGTTTATACCTATGCCAAATGAGGAGGCCTTGCAAAAGTTTGGGATGGCAGAGGTCTGGGAACAAATAAGCCCTAAAACACTTGCCAACCCCCCCCTGACTAAACGTGAGGGCACTGATGTAGTAATTTTTTCAACTTTACTATCTTAAACTATATTTGTAAATGTTCTACTTTGATATCTTTTTAGCCCATATCCCCGCCAAGCCAATCGTGTTTAGATCTTTACACAAACAAATCGTTAGTGTCTTAAGGATTATCTATCAAAAAATCTAATTTTAAATAATAATTTTTTTATAAAATGATTGTTATTTAAAAAGTTTTTATATAATTTCGCTTCTTTTGAGACCCAACATGACATACTTTTAAAAAACTTTTTTTTATATAATATAAGGGACCTGGTAAGTGTTCAAAAGTCTGATGCTCCCCCTAAATCTCATAAAAATTTAAAAAAATTTAATAAAGTTGCTTGTGAGAACCAATAGAAGGTTTTAAGAATATCAACAGATCTTTTTTAGAATATAGGGGGCGGATGTCACACCCTAATATACATATATGTATATATATAATATAATATATATATATATATATATATATATATATATATATATATATATATATATATATATATATATATATGAAGAGTGAATTTTCAAAATGCGGTATATCCATTTTTGTGGTATTGAGATAATTGACTTTTTTCGCCACACCAACATGTCTTGTATATTTGGAAAAATTATTGTTTCTTAATGTATATATACATAAAGTATATTATATAATGTTAATAAATAAAATATTATTAAATAAATTTTTTTTTTTTTTTTGTCAATAAGTTTGCATTTATTTTCAAAATACTGTATATCCAATTAAAGCTTGTTAGCAAAATGCGGTATATCCATTTTATAAAGATGTTATGGAAAGTTTTTAAACTTTAAAAGACCTGAATAAGTTTTAATGATTAATTTTAGTTAACATATTGAACAAATATGTGTATTTAATGTTTGGTCATTATATTTTATTGATAATGTGAATGTAAACAATGTTTTATTAAAGTAATGTAAACTATTACATTTCACAATTCGCAATTGTAAATTTATATTTGTTCTGGAGAGTTAAATATGGACAATAAACAATAATATTTTTTTAGTGCTGTGTAGTTGTAACAATGATGATCACTATTTTTAAGTCTCCATAGAACTAATGGACAATTAATATAACATAAAAGTCATCGTTATATTTTTGAACGAAATAAAATTTTAAAAATGAAATACTGCAATAGCCTCATTTTATTTGCAACAAAGCAATAGTCGGTTTAACAAAAAATAAAAAGGAAGTATTATTATTGAATGCTTTCCATTAAAAAACAGGTAACAAATATATTTAGACTTATTAATTTAAGTTGCCTTTTTAATATATTTTCTATCATTATTCCATAATTCGTTCAGTTAAACAAACAAAGCATGGTAGTTTAAACGAACACTAGAATTAAGAAATGCTTTTCTTTTCTTTTTTCTATGTAAAATAGGATATTAGGCAACGCATTAATCTTGTCCATCGCAATCTGCCATTTCTTTAACGCAACTTTAAAATATTTACGCTTGCGCAGAAGTAATATACATTTGCCACGGATTGGTCAAAATTAAATACCGCATTTTGAAAATAAATAAAAAATTTTATACCGCGTTTTGAAAATAAATGTTTTTTAGAAGTAAAAAAATATTGGGTTATACTTCGTTTAGCATATATTCGGACACAATGTCTGCTAGGTCCTTATAAACTAGAAATAAACCACACAATTTCTAAAAATTTTTTAAAATGTTTTGAAAATAAACTCTTCATATATATATATATATATATACACACACACACATATATATATATATATATATATATATATATATATATATATATATATATATATATATATATATATATATATATATATATATATATATATATATATATATAAACTTTTTGACTACCATGCAAGACTATCTATCTATATATATATATATATATATATATATATATATATATATATATATATATATATATATATATACACACACACACACACACACACACACACACACACACACACACACACACACACACATATATATATATATATATATATATATATATATATATATATACATATATATATATATATATATATATATATATATATATATATATATAGTCTTGCATGGTAGTCAAAATTGTAGTCAAAAGAGACTTTTTTTACCATAAAAGTCTCTTTAGACTATGATATATATTATATGTAGTTGAAACAAAATAAAACTACACTTGTAAAGTGTAGTTTTATATTTATTTGTTCCCAAGCCTCTACCATCCCAATTTTTGCAAGACCTCCTCATTTGGCATAGGTATGAACACACTTAAATTTAGAGTTTGCACAATGTGTAGAAGTGTCCTATCTGAAACATCAAAAAATCCTGCGGTCGCCTATGTATTGATATACTTCCTTCAAAACTGTCATAACAGATCCTTTGGTTGTTTATAATTTTTTTCCATTATTTACAAATTCTTTGTTTGCATTAATTAAATACCAATAAATAAAAAGTTTTTTGGTTTGCCACTAACAACCAATCGGATTTCTTTTAAATTATTGGTTTTTTTTTTACAAGTTTGTTTGCTCTATGCCTTAGCATTGAGAAAAGAACAGGTTTAGAAATAGAGGGTTTTGGAAACGACATACCACCTGTATTGTATGGGTCATGACAGCTAGTTATTATTAATACACAAATATTTACCCTAGGGATGAAAGAAAAAATAGCAGTGTCAATCGAAAAACAAGGAAAAATGTTACAAAAGAGCAAATTGAAATGCTTAGGCAAACATTAGCCTCTCGTAGTTAGGCAAAAATTAGCCTCTTGTAGCATACCTGTTAAGCATATGCCAGCATACAAGCTAACACAGCTTAATCCAATAGAAGAATTTTTTCTTTAAAGCATACTTACAAACAGGTAGAAAGGCCTCAAAAAAAGGATATAAGGGGTTATCAAGAAAATATTATGGATACTACAGAGTAGTAGAAGTTATATTTTAATTTTTGATTTTTTCCTTTTGTTGAGTGAAACAAAACGAATTCTTTTTTTAAAAAACTTCAACTTAAATTCGTTTAAAAAAAAAAAAATCTAAACTTTGTGAAAAGTGAAAATTAATTTATAAGTAATTGTTAATATAGTTTTTATCCATAACTAAATGAAATAAAATTTAACAAGTTTAATCAAATCAACAAAAATGTTAATAATTGCCAAATATCCATTATTAATATTGTCATTAATAGAAACCAATTAACAATAAATATATTATTTTGATAAAAATATTTTTTTTAAATAAGGTACAGCATATAAAATTAGATGACCAATATCCTTCTTTAGATGAACGCTGTAAAAATCTTAACTTTATTTAGCTCACTTACAGCTTTCTCTTATACAAAAAGCAGGACACTGACCTTATTTATAAAATTATATAAAATGTGTAAATATTGTATAAAAAATCATAAGATGGTTAAGTAATTTTTTAAAAGCTTATATTTGTTTTTAAAAACAAAAAAGTGCCATACAATATGGTGTAAGAAAAATCTGCAAATTTGTTAAAAACTAATTGCTCTAGTAAAATCTAAAAACAGAAAAGAATATTTTAAATTAGGGATTTTTTTATTTATTTTTTTGTTAATTCACCTCCTCACTACGGATGAGGCCGCTGCGTGGAAAACAAGTTGAGTGCGATACTACCAGGGACATGGTGGGGATTGAACTCGGAACCTCTCGCTTATGAAGTGAGCGCTCTACCACTACACTACTACTACTCACCATTACCTATTTAGCAAAAATAATACAATTAAACTCGATTTACTAATTGCAAGTAAAAATAAATGTGTATCTACTTTTTAAATAAAATTTTTGATAAATTAAATAAAATTTTTGAGAAAAGCTTTATAAAAGTTAATTATAAAAGCTTTATGAAACTTAGTTTTATTTACATAAAACTAAGTTTCGAAATGACAACAAACAAATAAAAAAGCTACAATATTTTTGTTATAGTCTCAATAAATAATTTGTTCTAATAAGTTTAATTAATCTAAAACTTATTTTCTTATGTTAACTTTTGAAATTAACACAACTCATCTAAGCACTTGGGGATCTTTTTAGAAAAAGCTTAATAAAAAAAACATTTATTTTATCAAAAACCTACAATCATTAACCAAATGCTTCATTTATTGGAATGCTGTGTAAATCTTTTATTACAACCACCAAAGATAAGAGTGAACCTAATCTCATGTGTAGAATAAACTGTTTAAAATAATTTTTATGGCGAATGCATTTAATAATCAAGGTAGATATTTTTATGAACAAAAAAAATATGCAAAATCCTAAGCATAATACTAGGCTTTAAAATAGAAAAAAAAGTTTGTGAAGAAACAAAACAATTGAAATATTTTTTGCTTAAACTTTTAATAAATAATTTGTTTTGGTATATTTAATTAACTCAAAATTTTAGTCTGTTTATTTAAAAAACAAAAACAATTCTTTTTGATACTTTTCTTGATGATCTCTTTGGAAATAATACAAGCATTTTAAAAAACAAAATAAATTTGAAAACGATCAAACATTAAATAAAAGTGTTCAAAATAACTTAAACGCCTTACCATCAGGAATTTTCATTGCAGACATGTTAATAAATTATCATGAAAACCTTAATTTATATCTAAAAAAACATAAAAACGCAAATTTAAAAACATTTTTTTTTTTTTGAATAAAATATGTTTTCGCAAGAAAATATTAAAAAAAATATTAAAATGAAATACTTAAAGAAAATGAAGTAAAATTTTTATTTTTTGAATGTTATAAAAGAATGAAATTAGAAAATATTTTAAAAAATAATTTTGATTTTTGATTTTTAACATGTTTTATAAAGTATTTTTCACAATTTCAAAAGATTAATTTTACAAGAAAATATTCTGAAATGAATAATAAAAGACTTTTTAGAGATATTAATAGACAACAATATACATAATAAATATAACGAATAAAAGTAATTACAAAAATGAGTTGGTAAATAGCCAAACAATACAACAAAAATCAGAAAATTTCATTGTAAAATATATCTTTTGAAAATTTAAAAATAAATCAAGAATAAAAAATATATTATTTTTTAAAAATTTTTTATTTTTAATTTTAGAAACAAAATTACATTAAAAAATTGTGTTTATATGCACATATGCTAAATTTTCAAATTTTATTTATAATAAAATTTATAATATAACTGTATTAAAACTTAAGAATAACTGAAATAAATCTTTTTTTCAAAGAAGTCTACAAGAATTTGAATCAATAAGAAAATGTTTTAAAACAAACAAAAAATAAATATAAAAATTATTATTTATTTTTGTAAAATTATTAACAATTGTTGTAATAAAATATGAATCAAAAATACTGTGATAAAAAAAAACTCTATAGAAAACACCAAAAAATAGACAACCAAAAAAAATATATCAACTACAAAAAAATGAGACATTTAAAAAAATTTTAAAGATGATTTTTCTTTTAAAAGTTCTTAAATAAGGAGGATAAAAATATTTGTTTTAGAAACATTTATGTTGTTTGCATAAATAAAAAATTAAGTGAAATTCACAAAAATTCTTTAAACCTTAAATTTGTTATAAAAATATAATTCGTTAAAAAATAAATAAAATGATACAACCCCACAACAGATGAGGGGAATTTCTATTTCTTTTTAACTCTCTCATTTTGAATATATTGTGCTAAAATGATACCAATTTCCATAAACGATGGTCGATCATCAGGGCTAAAATATATGTTTAATAATGTGTGTGTGTGTGTGTGTGTCTATATATATATATATATATATATATATATATATATATATATATATATATATATATATATATATATATATATATATATATATATATTTGTATATATACTGCAGAGTGCAGTGTATATACAAATAATTTAACACCCTGATATATATATAGAGTTGCAACCCCAAAAAAAACGGTGTGTTTTTTTTAAAAGAAACACGTTTTTTTTGCAAAAAAAACAGACTGGTTCTAAAAACATGTTTTTTATAGTTTTTTTTGCTTTTTTTTAGTATTCATTAAATTTTAGATAATAATAATACTTGAAACAGTTCCAGTGCCCTTAAACCTACAAAATACAAATGTTTTCTATTTAATAAAATGCATATTAACTTATATAATAGCTGTTACAAACTAATCACCAATATTAAAAAAAAACAGTATTAAATATTTAAAAAAGTAATTTTTTAAATAAATCTCAAAAAAACTATACTATTAGCTACTAGTTGATTGTAAGTATAATACTACTGAATGAAGGAAATAAAAATGTTATTTTAGCAGTGTTATTTCATTCATAAAAATGAATGAAATAACACTGCATTGCAAAATACAAAATTAAACCAACTGTTAAATAAAATTTACTTTAATGTTTTATTTACTTTTGTATATTACTTTTTTAAATTTTTAATATTTAATTTCTTTATTTTATTTTAAATTGCAATTAGATAGCTAAAATTTTATTTATTCAAACAATATTCAAGTAAATAAAAATAACACAATGATTAACTTTGTCTAATGAAAAAACATTTATATTAAACAATTTGTAATCTATTAATTATTTTTAATTAAAAAAAAAAAAAGAAATCTAAAAAAAAATATGCCAGGCAGAAAGAAATGTTTTGTAGCTACATTGTTCAATGTGGCACCTTTAGAATCTGGAGGTTCTAAAATTCAACAAGTTATATGCAAATTTTGCAGCTTAAAGCTATCAAAAAATGGCACTCGAATGACTGAGCACATTGCAAAATGTATGAAATGTGGCGATCAAATAAAAAACAAATATTTGAACGATATGCCTTTTAAACAGAAGAAAGTTCAAACTGAACTAATGATGGAAGAAGATATTCCTGAAAACTTACCTATTCAAGATATGAAAAAAGAGAAAAAAATATGTTTATCATCTGCTATTCCACAAGTTCCAATTGAGTCTTTCTTTCCAACACCAAGCTGTTTTGGAAACCAAAGTAGGTCTACAACCCCTAAGTTTGGAGACTGTAAGGCAAATAAAACCAAATCAGATAAGCCTCCCTTAAAACGATTGTATTCTTCAACAAGAGTTCCATTCACAACTCAGAAAAATAAAATTGCATCCGGATACGGATGCAATTTTATTTTTTTGAGTTGTGAATAGTTGTGGATGCAATACAGATTTGACTTTACAATAGAAGACCTTAATGAACAAGAAAGCCAGAATACAGAATCTGTTATTAATTAAAAATAAATCTTTTAAATGATGTACTATATATTTACCATATATCATGTTATTAATATATATTATATTACATTTATAATAAAAATAAAAATTAAATAAAAGTAAATAATTTTTTTTTTAATCTAAAAAACAAAAAAAACCATAAAAAACACAAAAAACACAAAAAAAACATGTTTTTTTTGCAAAAAAAACACAATTAAAAAAAAACGGTTTTTTTTTGCAACTCTATATATATATACATATATATATATATTATATATATATATATATATATATATATATATATATATATATATATATATATATATATATATATATATATATATATATATATATTTGTATATATATTTGTATATATATTTGTATATATACTGCAGAGTGCAGTGTATATACAAATAATTTAACACCCTGATATATATATATATATATATATATATATATTTGTATATATACTGCAGAGTGCAGTGTATATACAAATAATTTCAAGTGAAGTCTACAAAATAGTGTTCAATAATCTTAAAAAAACAAAGCAATAAAAATATAAATTTTTTTATGGCGAATAAATTAACTTTATCTGTTAAACTTTTATTGTAGCAACTTTTCTGCAATAAATACTCAACAAAAAAAACAACAACAACAAAAAAATTGTAATAACATAAAAATTATTGAAAGTACTAATTATAACAATAGATTAGCAATAGATTAGCAATAATTTGTCACAGAATTTAGAAAATGATTAACTTTAAAGACTTCTTAAATCAATTATAACAACAGGAATTCTTCTTAAAAAAAAAGAATTATTATTTTGATTTTTCATTTCTAAAATATCTAAATCTTTAATTCTTGTGTCAAAAACATTTTTATAAATAATTAAGATTAAGCAATCATAGTATGAAATCTGTTAACCTTTTTTAAATCAAGCTGTTTTAATACAGCATTTGACAAATTTTAACTAGGAGGTATATTTTGAAAATAAATAAAGCAGAAACTATCAAGAGAGAAGGTGTAGAGCCAATTTTATATAAGTTTTATTTCAAAACTCTAAAGTAATCTGATCAATAAGGTAATAGCCATTGTTCAAATCTAATATTTGAATGAGAAACAAAACAATTTAATTAAAAAAAGTCTTCTAATTATTAGAAAAGTTTTATTATAGGTAATACATAAGCAATCCTTGCATATACAATTTGCTAACTCAACATGCCTACTGTTAGTAGTACTGATATTTACACTTACAGATATTTGTACATAACATTATATAAGTGGATTTTTTACATTTGCATATTAAATCTCTATTAATAATAATTACTAATAATTCTATTTTAATTGTCATTTATTTTAATGTAATTTTTATACTTGTATGTTTTTTTTGAGAAAAAATTGTGGTTTTCAAATAAACGTTTTTATAATTGCTATATAATAGTCTTAAGCAAAATAGTGGCAATTATTTAGAGTACCTGCTTTATTTTACAAAGCAGATGATAAAGTTTGACAAAGATGTTCTGCTCAAAAGTATAAATGTGCAACTCTCCATTTTAAGACAGGTAAGCTAAAAAAAGGTAGGTTAAATTAAGATATTCCTTAGAGACATTTTTTTAACAAAGTTCCATAACTTTTTAAACATAATTTTTTTATCATAGCTCCATAAAAATTTTTAACATAATTCCATCAAAACATTTAACATAAACTAACAACTTGCTGTGACTGCTTGAGACAACAGCAGTTTGTTAACAAAACATCTTTTTATTATTATTATTATATTTATTATTATTATTATTATTATTTATTACTAAATTTATTATTACTATTTTGATTTTACTAATTCAACTTTTTAATAATAATAATAATAATAATAATAATAATAATAATAATAATAATAATAATAATAATAATAATAATAGCTTGCTGCTTAGCTGATTAACTTGCTGTTTCATGGAACAAGAATCACTTGTTCCAAAATTCAAAACTCAATGGTGTGTGTGACTCATGCAGCTTAGTTTTACTGTTTTATCTCCTGATGATGATGATTCCTTTTGCTGTAACTTGATTCCTCGAACTTAGGTTTGTTTGAATTTTCTACTATTTTCTTGTTTAAAAATTACTAATGGCTGCTCAAAAAGTAAGAATTTTTGCTCAAGATTAACTAACTAAAAATTTGTGTTGGAAAAGAAAGGGGTGATTTGGTGAAAAATAATGTTTATGTATGCAGAAAGAGAGGGAAGGAGGGATTGGTTGAAAGCATACAGTTACAAACAAAGGGGGACCTAAACCAGTGGTTTTACTGGTTACATACTTTATGAATGTACCTTTTCCTGAATTCTTAGAAATTAGAACCACAGAGGCCACAGAATTTGAAATATTTTAAACAGTCAATTTAAATTTTGCTTTGGAATTGACAGTGATGAATTTCTTCTGAACTTAAAGTACGCACTTCAAACAAATTAACTGTTGGATTTAATAAAGTTAAATCTCTCCTTGAAAAGCTCGATCTTAACAAATCAGTGGGATCGGACAAAATACACTATTACCCTCTTAATAATAGTGCGACTGAGCATTAACATATATTATCATTTTTGGTCAAGCGACTTTTGATATATTATAGAAATGATATATCAAAAGTCACTTGACCAAGAATGTATTTCACCTGCATGGCTTGAGGCTGCCATAACTCCATTATTCAAAAATGGTAACATTGTTGAGACTGCAAATTACAGACTAATTAGTCAAACACCACAGACCAATTTTTTAAACAAGAAATTAAAAAAAATTGTCATGGATGAAATAATGACTATCCTGAATAATAAAACAATTTTATCTCTAATCATCCACATGGTTTTAAATCTTATATTTTTAATCTCATAAATAAATCTACAATAAATTTACTAGATATTAAATTCAAAAAATTACTGAGTGGACATCAAAATGACAAATGGCTATGAACAGTGCTAAATGAAAAACTATACAAATGGGTTACAGGAATCCAAACAAGAAATATTTTTTAAATATAAACAAAAAAGCCTATAAGTTAAGTTAATTTTGAAATGACACCCAAATTTCCAATAAATCAAAACTAAAAAAACAATTTAGTCCTGCACTAAAGCAAACCAAATGCTTAGTATGAAATAAAATTGCAAACCAAAATGCTTGGTATGCTAAATTGTACATTTTCATATCATATTTGAGTTTTTTGGAAACACTTATTTACTTCTTATTTTAGACCACAATTAGAATTTTCAATACTTGTATGGAATCCATATTTAAAAAGTGACATTAAAGAACTTAAAAGGCTTTAAAAAAGAGCTATGAAAATTTTATTAAGAACCAGAGGCGACCTCAAGCAAAAGCTTAAATTGAAAACAGTTTTGACATAATGGTACACATAATGGTTCACATAATGGTACATGACATAATGGTAAACATAATGGTTCACACAGAACCATTATGTTTACCTCAAAGAGGAGGAAACAGGGGGTATTTTGTTAGAGAACTAATAAAAAAACTGCAATTAAAGATATGTTGTCAATGTTTCTTTAACAACAGAATTTCAAACAAATAGAGCTCGTTACCAGATGAAGTAGAAGATTCAACATCTACAAATAAGTTTAAAGCAAAATATATTTACTAAAGCTCGTTATCTTCTTTTGGCCAGCTTTGAAAGATTTAAAAGTCTTGCTGTATATTAAAATAAAAATACTGATATTAAAAATAAATAACGATTCTCATTATGCAATAAATAACTTATAAAAAAAAATTTTTTAAATAAGAATATCAATTGTCATACTAACAAATATTGAAAATAAATTTAAAAATTAAAGCAAGGTAAATAAAGCACAAAAAAAAAAAATTCATACTTAGTTTCCCAACATTTTAACATCAATGTGTACACTGCATCTGAACAATTATCAGGCTTTGGAAGACGATAACCACTTTCAAGTTTTTCTACTATAACGGGTCCTCTCATACCCTAAATATGAAAATTAATAGGTGTTAAAGAATGTGTTACTAGCACTGCTAAAATGTAAAGATTTACTTAGCATCAGTACACATGCGTGTTTTATAAACTCTAATGAGTTTTATATTTTGATAAAAATTTTTAAGTTTATCTCTTTAACTAGCCAAGGCTTATTATTTGTCTGTACTTTTATATAAATAGGTATGTTGTTTTTGCAAGCACTGCTTTTTAACTTCTTATTGTATATAGAAAAGTTCCTTCACCCAATATAAGAACATAATTTTTGTATACAATTTTCATTTTTGTGACATTGGTTTTTCCTAGTTTTTAAACTTTCCTAAAAATTTAAAACTATCAACTTTAGGATGACATTAAGTAGGTAAAAAATGTAAGTAAAAAAAAAAAAAATACTTTAAATACAATTTTTTATATATGAAGCATATTCCACTCTACCTCCCACCGACCCCAAAAAAAAAATTTTTTATTGTAACTGTTTAATTTTTTTTTTACGGTAAAAATAAATATTGCAAAATATTTGTTTTGCAATTGCTAATAATTTTTTGAAAAACCATTTAGAAGCCAATTATTTTACTTTATTGAAGGCTTTTATTGAATTTATTTCTTTGTATATATAATCTTTATACTAACCTAATTATAGTATACTCTTTATAAAAAATCAGCCAATTATTTTTCACCATTTGAACTAGCTTGGTAAAAATATATACCCTTAATTGCAAAGTTTCATTGATATGGTAAGCTATGAAATAAAAGGATATGTGGATATAAAAAGATATCGGAGCTTTAAAAGTTTGTAATAATAACTCATAATAAATAAATAAATAAAAGGTGAGTCTAGAAAAAAGATATAAAAACAGAACAAACATTTTACAATGCTTTGAAGGATTTTTTAAATTAAAAATTAAAAGGAATATCTTAAATTTTTATATTAATATCAATATCTTTGATTTTTTATCTTAGTTGACAGTTGTGACAAACTCTTGCATTGAATACATCATCTTATGTTTTGTAAATAGTATCTTGAGTTTATTTTGTAAACGATGATAGATAAAAATATATGTTCAAGAATAAAAAAAATATGTTCAAGAACTGATTTTTAACCCTCAAAATCAATCTATATGCAAATGTAATTATTTAACTTTTTTTTTAAAAGTTATGTTTAATAGAATATAATCAATGAAGCTAACCAGTTTTATTTTAGTACAATATTAAATTTATAATGCCATGTAATATATATTATGTTAGATTTATAATGCCATGTAACATATGTAATGTTATATTTATAATGCTATGTAAGATATGTTATGTTAGATTTATAATGCCATGAAACAAAACATTTCACAGATAAAAAGCACAAAAGATAACTAGCACGCATTTCTGTCACAGAAGAAAAGATTTTCCTTAAAACAAACAAAAACAAAAACAAAACAAAAAAAGAACAGCACTCTTATACTTTATTCCCCAAAATAATTATTTGTCTGTGCAATTTACATCATTACACAAATAAACATCATTGTCAAAATTTAAAAATAAACAGAAGGTGATTCATTTACAAAATATGTACTTAGCTGATGTAATAATTATGAATAAAAAAATAAATCATTATGACATCAGATTAGTGATCTAAATGTGTTTTTATATTTTTTTGTGAGCCTATCTCTCTCCAATTGCTTAGACAGGACATTTGAGCTTGAAAAGGATCTCACTTCTGCTACAGAATGAGGGTCTCAGTGGCTAGTGAACTTGAACTCAGATAAAACTTTTTTTCAGCTAATTGTTATCAAATCATCTAGATTATATTTATGAACGGTAATGCTATCTACCCTTTGTCTTTTATGATTAACTCTTACATCTGATTTTTCTCAGAAATCATATTGATTTCTGAGAAAATCAAATTGATTGCAAAACTAGGATCAGCTAAGGTTGCATCTCTTTGTCATGCTCACTAATTTTTTACTCAGGATTCTTTTTCTTTATCTCTATAAATCTAAAATCCATCGTTTTAGAGAATACTGTTGCCATATCTGGTGCAGATTTTCCAATGATGCTCTTTTTTCTTTTAGACAAGAAGCAAAAATGCATTATATACATTGCTGGGCCTGCTCTTGCAGCCAAATTCCAACAACTATTACTGCTCTAATGAGCTAACGTTTCTTGTGCCATCTACTAAAATTCATTCTCGTCATTCAATTAAGCCTCATTCTTTTTCTGTGACTGTTCCTAAGTGCTCCAAAAACTCTTATTTGTCTAGTTTTTTTTCCTTGAACATCAGTTCTTTAGAATTCACTTCCTTTACCTTGCTTTCCTGATTCATATAATTTTCAATCTTTTAAGTTGTCTGTAAATCTGTGTATTTATAAATGCGTGTTTATATATATGCAGTATATATAAATGCGTGTTTATATAAGCATATGCTTACTAGTTTTGCATATCTTTATAGCATATAGCTTTTTCAGAAAAAGAAGAAAAAACAAATAATAATAATAAGCAGCAGAAAGCTGTAAGATAGTCGATGTATGTACTGAAGCCTCCTGGCAGCAGGTGTGATATCACCGGTGTTATGTTAAGAGACATTTATAATGTGACATTACCAAAATTATGTTAAGAGACATATATTGATACATAATATTAAAAAAAGGTATAAAAAAAAGTAAAAATATCTAAAAAAAAAGAAAAAAATTGACGAAGAAAATTCGAAAAGCAAAAAAGAAAAAAGAAAGAAAAAGAAAAACAAGAAATAAAATATATATAAAAGTATATTAAAAAAAAACAAAAAACATACATATAAAATAGAAAAAAAGAATTTCTTACACATAAAATAGATATCTTACACATAAAATTACAAATAGAAAAGGGATAAACTTTTACTGCTTTTGTATTTGGTTATTTTTTTTATTGCTTGTTTCTTTGTTTATCTATAACTTTATGAGGACAGAATAGGGATTTTGTGAATTAATTTAAAAAACAACTTTTACCACAAATTTTATTACCTTTGAAAAAACAAAATTGGATATTAACAAACTGCCAGCATTAATGAAACTTTATTAACTCACAATAAACAATATAGTACTAAAGCAAGTCAAAAATCTATCTTTATCTTTATAATATCTAATCTTTATAATATTAAATTTCTAAAAATATATTTTTAACTATTTTTTATATTGTTAACTATTTTTTATATTGTTAACTGTGTTTTATATTGTTAACTATGTTTTATATTGTTAACTATGTTTTATATTGTTAACTATGTTTTATATTGTTAACTATGTTTTAGCAATGTGCTGTGTTGTTGCATCCAAAGATCTTCATTACACATGACATCATGTACGAGAGCAAAAAGATTTTAATTTATTTGTCCTAATTTCAACAAATTATCTATACCATGTAATAATAATTTATACCGCAGGAACTTTAAAAATTATAATAAAGAATCATTTAAATCTGAATTATTAAAAGTTTATTGGAATGACATTATCAATAAAAACAATGTTAACTCTAGTTTTGAAGCATCTCTAACAACATTGCTGTTAGATTGTCATGTGCCACTCAAAAAAAATAGTATTAAGAGTGCCAATTCAAGCCAGGGATTACTAAAGGAATAATAAAATCAATTCAAATTCAAAATCGTATTTAAAAGGAAAATGTTAAGGATAAAAGATCCAACAAATATAATTAAACTAAAAACTATCTTTAAACGCTTTAAATTATAACAATTAATCTAATATAACTGAGTAAAAAAATTTCAAAAAATTCTTTTCAGAAAATTTAAACAACCTTTGTGAAACCTGGAAAGGCAAAAAAAGTCTTTTTGAAATTATCATGTGCCATTCCAGGATATAAAAATGGCTCAAAACTCTCATGTACTAACTATAGACCAATTTCAGTTCTACCTAAATTAGCAAGCTCCTAGAAAAACTAATGTATTCTAGATTATACTCATTTTTGAGTTCTTTTAACTGTCTAGATTTTCAGTTTAGATTTCGATCAAAACACTCTACTTGCCACGCTTTAATAAGTATAACCGAAAAAATAAAAAAGGCACTGGATACATTAACACTGCCTCTTTTTTTTAATATGGGTAATATACAATGTATATAAAAACCTGATTGTCATTTCAAGCCATATATTGAAATATGCTTTTTGCACAAATAATTTGAATTAGCAACAACTAATCCATCAGAACTACAAGGCTCTAGTTACCAGGCTCCAATCATCGCAATTTTTATAATTTTATAGAATAGTTTTGCCTGAGAGATAAAACTTAATACACAACTTTTTCAATATTTTAAGCAAACACCGCAGCACTTTTGTCCATTTGTTTTTTAATCCTTCGCCATTTTACTTTGCTTTTTCCTTTTTTATATGAAAATATTAAGACGAGATTTAAAAAATGAATCATCAAAAGATAACATTTTGTTCAATTATTTCAAAATTGTTTTTGTTAGTGTATGTTGATTTAACCATTCTAAACCATGCACGTTGAAAGTTTGATCTGAAATTTGATTATGTTTTTTTTTTTTCTTCCTTTCTCCAATATAATAAAAAGGTTAAAGCTTGCAGAAATATTCGAATTAAATCAAGAAAGTAAATAATATCAATATAGTTTTAGCATTGGTCATTTTTGTTACAAGACTTACAAAAAGCATTCGATACTGCTAATCATACCATTTTAATTTCTAAACTTAAACATTACAGAATTAGAGGAGTTGCATGTAATTGGTTTCAATCTTATCTTTCAAATCAAAAGCAGTTTGTTAGCATTAATGGTTGCAAATCAAATAACAAACACATAGTTTGTGGTGTTCCCCACGGTTCTGTTCTTGGGCCTTTATTGTTTTTGATTTATATTTATGATCTAAATAACTTATTTTTGATCCACTTCTTATCAGTCCTATTGTTTGCTAATGATACTAA